TATATACAATAGATCGCGGGCGTGATTACGACGGCGGTGATATACAGAGATCGCGGAGGAACGGATATATACAGTAGATCGCGGGCGTGCCTACGACGGCGGTGATATACAGAGATCGCGGAGGAAACGGATATATACAGTAGATCGCGGACGTAGTTACGGTGGCGGTGATAGATAGAGAGATCGCGGCGTTCGCGGATCGGCGGGCGCGCGGGCTCACTGAGGCACGGTGTACGACCACCGTGTGGACGACGCGGTATCGTAAGCTTGGATAGCGTTGGCGATAAGCGCGCGCGGCGCTGGAGCGTGATTAGACGCGATATCGAGCGGCTAAGACCCTTAGCGGAGATAGAGAAGTACTCTCTATCTCCTGGCGCATCGAATCGTGTAGGCGGAAGGCGGCACCGGGTGGCCAAGACCCTTGGCGAATAAGAGAAGGACTCTCTTACCCTGGTTCACTCCGGTGTCACAGGTGCGTGGATGGAAGTTCGAGTCAACCGCCTAGATGCTTCACTTGGCAGAGGCAGAGAACACTCTCTACCTCCTGGTTGTTCGACTGTGGGATTTCGGGATCCGTGAGCAGCGGGGAATTGGTCGGATCGGTTTGCTGGCTCACGGCGGAATCTAAAACTTAGCAACATTGCTCGGTTTATATACGCCCGCGGTGGCGTGTCGGCGTGGCGGGGGTATACGCGACGGCAATCGCGCGCGCCGGGATGGAGCGGCGGAGCGTTCGGGAAGTACGGCGCCCCGACGCGACGCCGCGATTGCGTTCGGTGGCTCTCGGCCGTTTTTGGCACCGCTCGGCGCTCCGAGTCGGTTGCCGCGCTAAGTCCGTTTGCGGACTGATACGCGAGATGAACAGTTTAAAAAAGGGCACATTGTGCCTTGTCTCGCCCGGCGGGTGTTCGGCTGGGCGGCATCCGGCTGATGCTCGCCGGGAATGATGCGTTTTGGGGCGCATCGTTACAACTGTCACGCGTTTAAGAACACACGTCTAATCAATTAAGAATCAATTAATACTTATTTTCAGTTTAACAGAATCGATATTTAAGCTAAATTTTTAGATTAATTGCGAGACCGAAAAGCGTATTGACGTTTACGAAAAGGTTTCTTGAAAGGTTATGTTTTCACATATGATTGGATAGAAAATGGCGGACGAGAATACTCACATTTATAGAGTCTTAAGGGAATTAGTGGAGATGTTTTTTATTAAAAAATTTGACGATACCATTAATTTACAAAAAGACACGGAGAATCTTAACGCTCTCTACGAACATATTATAAAAAAAATATAATTTTCTTCTCCTTGTTCACCACTTTCCTCTTTACGCTCTAGCTTATTATTGACGGCATTGGTCTGTTTTTATATATTGTCAAGTTTGTCAGTTTAAATTTTACCACCGCACGGCTCTGACATGTTTCTCCGATACAAACAATTAACAAATAATGCCGTTTAACAAAGTATTTTACCGTTTTGATTTTTACGCACAAATATGTATAAGTTTCTGGTTTATATAATCTTCACAAAATTATATTACCTAACTCAACTCAAGTGACATGTATTTCAAAAAAGAAGGAATATTATGAGAACATGATAGATAATAATAGGAGCAATCCTACAAAGATGTAAACAACTTTGAAAGAATTAATTAAGGGTGAGCAAAGGGGTTCAGAAAACATCGATAATGTAGATTTTGAAATATTAGAGGACATAGAAGAATGCAATATAGCTGATAAATTTAATATATATTATGTAAAAAGTATTAGCAACATTGTGCAATCTATTAGTAATAAGGGGATAGAAGGCACAGGTAGGAGACCTATTTATGTCATTGAGAGTAAGGGAATTATGGAAAATTTTGAGCCAATTAGTGCAAGTGATCTGGAACAAATTGTTAGAGAACTACCACAAAAGAACGGAACAGAGGAAGAAATAAATAGTGATATACTGAAAATGGTGCTACCTGTGATAAAAGATGAGTTTGTAGGGGTAATAAATGATTCGCTTAGGACAGGTAAATTTCCAGAAGGATGGAAAACATCCACGATAATACCGATACCAAAGGTAAACAAACCAAAAAAGCGAGCGAGTATAGACCGATTAATATGTTACCGATATATGAAAAA